ATTTTTTCAAATAAAGAGTTTGAGTGGTTTTAACTCAATGAAAAGGCAACTCCTTTAATAAGTGTGTAAGACCAGTTGACATCAGCTAAAATGGAATTTTGCAGACCAAATTTTAAAATAACTCCTTTGCATGATTGATGGAAGTAATTTTTTTTTTTTACTGCATTTTAGGTTTTGGGGTACATGTGCAGAGCATGCAAGACAGTTGCATAGGTACACACATGGCACTGTGTTTGGATGGAAGGAATTTTTAAATAATTTTTATAATTTATTGAGCACAGCCAATGATATACTTTTTTTATTTGGATCTAAATATCTTTGTGTGGTATCTTTTTCAACTATGACAGAACACTGAAATCAATTGACGTTAAACCCAGATCTTCAAATCAGTATATCACAAAGATGCTCCTTCTAGATATTATTTATAGTTAATGAGGTCATATGAATTTTGTAGTTAATAAATAAAATAGTTAAAATATTTATTTATTTATTTTTCTTTTTTTCTTGAGACAGAGTTTCGCTCTTGTTGCCCAGGCTGGAGTGCAATGGCGTGATCTTGGCTCACCATAACCTCCGCCTCCTGGGATCAGGCAATTCTCCTGCCTCAGCCCCCTCAGTAGCTGGGATTACAGGCACACGCCACCATGCCCAGCTAACTTTTTGTATTTTTTAGTAGAGACGGGGTTTCACCATGTTGACCAGGATGGTCTCGATCTCTTGACCTCGTGATCCACCTGCTTCGGCCTCCCAAAGTGCTGGGATTATAGGCGTGAGCCACCGCGCCCAGCCAAAATATTTATTTTTATTTGTAACTCATCTTTTAAAATTCCTATTACTGTGAATGTTTAATAATACATACAATTAGCTATATATTTGTGGGATACAAATAGCTCAAGAATACTATTTATAAATAATGGAATATACATATATAAGAATGAACACTCAAACTGAAAAGACATCACTGAACTAGAAAACTATTTCAAAGCAGACATCTGTAATAATCCACTATGCCTGCCTACCCCATAGTTGACACTCAATAAGTATGTTTTGATGGTTAATATATTTATGAAAAAACATTCAACATCACAAATCATTAGAGAAATGCAAATTAAAACCGCAATGAGATATCATCTCACACCTGTCAGAATGGCTATTATTATCAAAAAGACAAAAGATAGCAAGTGTTGGCAAGGATATGGAGAAAAGAAAACCCTTGCACACTGTTGGTGGGAATGTGAATTAGTACAGCCATTATGGAAAACTGTAGGGAGGTTCCTCAAAAAGCTTAAAATAGAATTACCATATGATCCAGCAATCCCACTTCTGGGGACTTCCCCAAAAAATTTTAAATCAGTTTGTCAAAAAGACATCTGTACTCCAATGTTCATTACAATACTATTCGCAATAACCAAGTTATGAAATCCACCTAAGTGCCCCTCAAGTGATGAATGGATAGAGAAAATGTGGCATATATACATAATGGAATACTATTCTGCCTTTAAAAAGAAGGGAATTCTATCATTGGCAGCAACATGTATGAATGGAGAACATTATGCTGAGTGAAATAAGCCAGATACAGAAAGACAGATACTGCATGTTTTCCCTTATATGTGGAATCTAAAACAATCGAACACATAGAAGCAGATTGTAGAATGGTAGTTACAGAGGCGGGGGGATGGGGAAATGGAGAGATGGTCAAATGGTACAAAGTCTTAGAAAAGAGGAATAAGTATTTTTGAGATCTACTGCTTAGCATGGTAAATATAATTAATAATAACGTATTATACATTTCAAAATTTCTAAGAGAGTAAACTGCAAATGTTCTCACCACAAAAAAAATAAGTATTGGAGATAATGGATATGTTAATTAGCTTGATTTAAGAATTTCACATTGCATTCATAAATTATAACATCAATCTGTAAATTATATTCCATATATTGTATTATATTCATACCCCACAAACATATATAAATGGTCAATTTTCAATAAACTAATTTTTAAAAATCTGTGTTGAATGAATGAATGAATGAAACACCTTCCACAGCAGCCACAGCTGTAGAAGAACTGACAGATTAAAAGCATCAGCTTCTGGATGTTTCTACTGAAGCTTTCAGAAAAAACATCTTTCAAGCATCATGTCTCTGTCCATCCAATAAAGAAGACTCCATTATAATCACCTTGCAATCATCTATATCAATATTTAGAAATAGTGGATAGAGAATCCCCCCAGTTAATTCAACTCATCAAGAAATTTTTAAGACAGTCTCATATTTGACATTCAAATGAAGTAAGTTAATACAAAATAAGTTATCTATGGTTTCTGATGTCAAAAAACTTATGTTTAGCTTTAGAACATGTCTTCAAATTTCTACTTAGAGATGAGTGCGGCTTGATGTTCAGAGAATTTGAGCCACTTGGTCATGTGATTTTATTCTTTTCCAGATGTCTACCTTCTTCATCTCGCCACATATTTGTCTCCTTGCTCCCTGTTTCATGCTGGAATTGGACAGCCTCATGGATCAGCATCTTGTAAAGCACTAATCTACATCACACTGGCCATGCTCTTCTTCAAGCTTCAGATCAAGTTGTTCATGCCTCTACTTCAAAAGAGAGTAGGTAAGACAAAGGCATTTTTAATAGATCTTCCTTGTCACTTGAGCCTCACTAAAGCTGAAGATAAAATCTCAAATCCCTTTCCTTCCATGTCATTTTTCTAGATTCTGGTTTTCAGGGAAAATAAGCCAAAAAGACAATGGTGCTGGTAATCTAAAGAGGGCTAAATAAATGGATGTGTTGTCATCCTCCAAAATCTGGAAATAAGACGAATAGCAGAATAGTATATTAATTTTAAAATAGTTACTCCAACGAAGATTAACAATGAAGGCAGAGAGCTCAGAGGCCTTTAGAAACTCAGGAAAAGGAGACCCCTTCCGAACTACACCTGTAACCACAGACCCCTTCCAAACCATAATTCACTCCATGGACTGATCTTGGAGGGGACTAATTGGATTCTGGAATTTCCATTCCAGGGTGATGTCTGGCCCTATGAGATGGCTTCCTTAGGTCATGGTTCCAGCATGATGTCACATGCTCCTGGATCCTAACTGATGGATTTTCAGAGCCTGCTGTGGAAATGCCCAGGGTAGAACTTATCTCTGGACACTTAGCATCATGAGAAGTTACTCATGATGTCATGAATAACAGGAAGAGCAACCCAGTTAAAAAGACTTCCTTCCTCTCCTCAGCTCCCCGCTCTCCTGGACAACAAGCCCACTAGCCAAGCACATGGTCTGCTTGGGAGAACGGGACTGCAGGCACAGTGGGGACTGGTTTTATCTTCTTCTGCAACAGATCAATTTGCAAAGTCAACAAGACTAGTGTAAGTTCCTTCCTCTAATCGCATTGTCTAACATGGGACTAAAAGCTAAGGGGGATTAACTTGATAAGAAATGAAACGCTTTGGCATGGAAAAGTCTCTACAAATCTTTGTGAAAGTGTTTCCATCTTAGCAGAGTAACCCAGGAAGAAACCTAGATGGACTACTACCAAGACATTTGACCTCAAGATAAGAGAAAAAAATAGATCATTTATCTTAGCAAACAGGTAAAGTATTTTATTTCTTTCCTAGTTTTTTCCAACGTTAACTCCTTTATGGAGGTTGCTTTTGCACCCGTTCAAATAGTCACTGAAAAACCTTGCACAGTGGTTTTTTATGGAAAACCAGGGCTTTTAATCCAATAGGACTGAGACCCCCCACCCACCTAGTCAGCATCACTACCAACAAAGATGTATCATTTCAAATGCTGTCTTGAGCTTTTAAATCTAAAAAAAAAAAATCTGAATAAAAACAATTCAAGATTTGTGTACTAGGATTTTAGGCAGATACAGAGAAATCTGGGTCAGAATTAACCCTAAGCAGAAGAAAAAAAATCCAAAACAGGCAACTTTCTCCAGAACTTTTATTTAAAATGGGCAAAGAAAATGTGTCAAAGAAACTGTCATTTCCCAGAAAAGGTCATGATTTCTGCGTGAATTCTACCAACTGAAGTGTCTGCTTAATAGTGACAACGGTGCTATTAGCAGGTGGACGTGCCGGTTCCCAAGGCAGAGGTTCACCGTCAGGGGCTAAGTACCTCTGCTAACAACTCAGTCTCTTACAACCCTGATGTTTCTTCAGCAAAAAAAATAAAACTAAATTAAAATTAACCCTAACAGTACTTCTGGCTGAGGCTCTAGAAGTCCGCAGGAGGGAGGGTGTTTGGATGGAGGAGGCCTTGGCTCTGCAGAATGGAGGCTTATGGAATCTTTGAAGACACTGAAGCCTTTTACCCACATGGTAAAAGGCTGGGCACGGTGACTCATGCCTGTAATCCCAGCACTTTGGGAGGCTGAAGCCTGCAGATCACGAGGTCAGGAGTTTGAGATCAGCCCGGCCAACATGGTGAAACCCTGTCTCTCTACTAAAAATACAAAACTCAGCTGGGTGCGGTGGTGGGCACCTGTAATCCCAGCTACTCGGGAGGCAGGAGAATCACTTGAACCTGGGAGGCAGAGGTTGCAATGAGCCAAGATTATGCCATTGCACTCCAGCCTGGGTAACAGAGTGAGACTCCATCTCAAAAGAAAAAGAAACCCACATGGTAGCCCTAAACCTAAGCAAGGACCTATCACCTTTAGGCTTCACGGGGTCTTGGCCTCCTCAGTACCATCAGAGGGCCTAGAGTTGAGAAAGAAATGGCCAAACACCCTCCACCATGTTTGCCACAGCCCAGCTTCCCTTGCACGTATCCTCAAGGAGAGCAGTAAAACCACCTCTTCAAGCAATGCTTGCCTTCAGTTTATTGTTCTTCTTAATAACCAAGTAATCAGAAGCCAAGTCATGCCTCAGCCTTCCTCCTCCCCACATCAAACTCAAGCTTCCTCCCACACCCCTCTCGCCAACTAAAAGGCACAGCCTGTTCCCATCCCTCCTCTGCCCCTCTCTCTGTCACTGGCCTGTTCCCACCCACTCCCCACCCCTCACTACACTGAACCCCAGGCCTTGAGATTTTGCTACCCAGACTATAAATCTGGCCAGTGCTGAGAAGAGCAAACAAAGGAGCAACTGTGGGAACTGACAGCTCAAGGACGGGCATGAGGGTGGGCCCTTGGCTGCCTTTCTCAGGAGGTGCTGCCCGGGCTGGTCTTCCCACCGGCCACTGCATACAGCTCAAAATGACAGAGGCTGTGAGTGGCTCTAAGATGAGTCGGCAGGCACTGGAGAAGGGGGGCCTTTTCCAAGAAATGAAATGTGACAAAAATGAAAGCCCCTGGACCACAGACTTGGCAACATTTGACATAAAATATTATCACTAAAATCCCTATGATTACCTCCCAAAATAGAACAGAATCGAAAAAGAAATAAGAAAGAGAGAAGCAGCGAGGGAGGCAGGGAAAGGAAAAAGGAAAGGGAGAAGGGAAGACAGGGAGGAAAAGGAAGGGAGGGAGGGAGGGAGGGGAAGAAGGGAAGGAGGGGGGAGAGGGAGGAAGTGAGGGAGGGAGGGGAAGGAAGAAGGGAAGGAAGGTTTACAGGTCTACAATTCTAGCTGTGGGTAGAAAGTGTAGTTATAACATGGCTACTCCAAACAGGCATGAACCTGGGGCTCAATTCCAGGCTCATTTTAAAATCCCAGTTTCAGGGAACAGGACTCAGGTGGGAGCCACCCCTAAAAGCCTTCCACAGAGAGAGTGTGGTTGAGCGCGTAGGCGTCGCTATCCTCTTCCTCCAAAATCAGCTTGTCGATGGTCAGTGAGCTGGCGGCTCTCCTGGGGTCTTCCATCTCCTGAAGGACTGGCTCTGGGATAGAGATGGGGAGCTGGACAAACTGGGGCCCGGGCAGGGCTGGGGCCGGAGGCTGGTACTGCAGGGTGGAGGTGGGTAGCGTGGAAAGGGGCTGAGGCCACGGGAAATAGGTGAGGGGTGCCTGGTGCTCTGGGCCCTCCAGCGGGGGGCCCACTGTGGGCGTGGCGGAGCTTCTTGTCTGTGACGGGGAAACACAGGACAGAGGGTTAGCAGCCCCGGGAGACCAGCCCACCTGTCCTTGCCCTTAGAGGGGTCTCCATCTCCCCCTTCAACTCTGCCTTTTCCTGGTTTCTCACTTCATGGGGCTCCACTTCTACTCAAAGTCTTCCCCAAAGGAGAAGCCATGTGGACTTCAGCCACAGCCCCTTCCCTGTCCCTCCCTAGCTATATGTCCTTGCTCAGGCCACTTCCTACTCAGAAGGCTCATTTTTCTCATCTATGAAATAGAATACAAATAGTAATGAACTCAGTGGGTTAAGCCAATTAGGGAGGATTTTCCAGGTTTCATTGAATACAAAATGCATTTATATTTCAGAGATCTTAAAGCATGAAAAAATATGCATCTTAAGATCTATGAAAATACAACACATTAAGCCATAGCCTGGCAGCTGTATCCGGAAGGTGGCCACTGTCCTGCCCAAACACAAAGACAGTCCAGGCTCCACACAACAGCTTTGGGGGTCACCATGAGCCAACACAGCTCAGTCACCTCCCACCCCTCTAGTGGTGGCCAGCATGGGGAGGTCCAGCCAACCCCAGGTGGGGGAAACACTGCTTTGTCAGCAAAGTGGCCTGCCTTCCTGCTGCTGCCTGGTGCCTTCCACATCCTCATCCTCCTCTGTCTCCGAGCTGATCTCCATGACTACCCCACTCATGGGCACCCCCCATGACCCTCCAAGGGTCAGCTTGCCTGCTCTATGAGTCATACCTCTCCCCTGCACAGTGACTGCCCTCGCAAACCTCAGCAAGAGGTGGGCCTGGATTCTTAGTTTTCTTTCATAGTTGAGGAAAGCAGATAGAAGAGGATTCTCTCTGCGTGGATTCATGTGAGAGAGGCCAAAATCTCCCCCTACTATCCCTGTCTCCCCGGTCATATCTCCCTCCTATTATCACTGTGTCTTGAGAGCAAACTGCTAGAATGATTTAGGTCAGGGCTTTTCTCAACTTCCTGGGGATCTTGTTACAATGCAGCTTCTGCCACAGGAAGTCTGGAGGGGGCCCTGGGATTTTGCATGTTCAGGGGACACCCATGTGGCCAGTCCAGGGACCAGAGTTTGAGTACCAAGGTTTTAGGGTGTTTTGCATAGAATGATAGAGATGGAAAGGGTCTCAGAGGTCTTCCAGCCTCCCAAAATCCAGGCTGAGGTGTACCCTCCACCATAGCACACCCACTTCATCTCCTTTGGCTGAAGCCAGTGGTCCCCATCCCACTGTCCTGAAACCAGACGGGATCCAGGAAAGCCTCATTATTTCCAACTTTTCAAAAGCCCAAATGGAAATCCTACATTTTCCAGTCATAAACCTGCACAGGTCCATTACAACTATAGGTTTCTTTGCTCAGGAATAGAGTTACACCCTCCCAGCACCACAGCAGATCTTATCTCTGCTGATCAGGAGTGTGGACTTGTAGCTGTAGCCAGCTTTGATGAGTTAATTTACAAAATGGCAAAACAAATAAATTATTTCTTAATAAATATTCATTGTTTGATACACAGAACCTTTCAAAGCAGAAGTGGGGGATGATGAAAGGGGATTAAATAATGAAAGGAATCCTTGGTAATAAAGTGGCTGGGAACCATGAGTCCTCCACCCCCCACCCAGGCCCACCCCATGCCCCCTGACATGGAAATGAGTTGCCTGGGAGAGGTGTTGGATTAACTCCTTCTTATCTATCATCATCCAGGCTCCAAAATTGGTTTGCTGGATAGCCAGCTGGGCCTGGGATGGAAGGGCTCCTGCAGGCCTTGCATAAAAGGTGTTTGGAGGAAGGACAGGTGCATCAGGATTACACTGGACCCTGGAGGGAAATGGAGGAGACAGGGTGGACCAAAGCAAGCTCCACCATTGAAGGTGGGCTCCGGGACTGCTCAAGGCCCAGCTCTACTTCCCACGGTTTCCCTGAACTGGAGCTGGATACAGCTGTAACCACAGGTCTTTTTGCCCTTGAACACTTGCAACACTCCCATTCCTTTAATCAAACAGGCATTATTAACATAAATCTATTTCTCTTCTTTCCTTCATTCCTGGGGGAAGAAGAGGCCCTTCCTTCCCCATCGGGCCCTTGGTTAATATTAGTAGATTTTGATACAGTGATGTGCTAAGCCCTCCCACTTGATCCTGACAACAACCCTTTTCTTGGTATTCCCATTTTATAGATGAGGACACTGAGGCTCAGAGAGTTTAAGTCACTAAGCCCAAAGTCACATAGCTAGTAAGTGAAGGGGCAGGGATTTGAACACGGGCAATCTGACAATAGAGACCGAACTTTACATGTGAGTCTGATGCCATCGAAAATATCACCTGTGGCTCAGCCTAGAAATCTTCTGTTAAATCCCATTATTAAGTGAACAATCACTCCTTAAGTTATCTGAATAGAAATGAAAGGCTGGTTCCAACACAAATCCCCAATTAGATCTCACCTGGTACCCTATTCCCTAAAAACCTCAACTTGGAAGCAGGCCTCACTGCTTTCAGGGAAGCTGGGGAGATTTAGAACAGAGAATCAGAGAAGACCTTCCCAGTCCTGAGGGGCAGAAAGTATGACAAGAGAGGCTACAAGACATCTTTGTGGAAGGTATTTCAGGAAATGACAATCAGGGCAGGCCTCCATGGAGGACAAGGCGAGCTTTGATGACCTGATTATCCTAAGAATCAATAGCAAGGAAGATCAGGGTCAGGAAGTCAGTTCTGATTCTAAAAGGTGCACTCAGCATGGACAGGTGCAGTTCTACCTTTGTGTGACATACCGTGACATTGGTGATGAGTGGCGGAGAGGCATAGGTCAGCACTGAGGAGGGCCCCACCACCGTGTAGCTGGGGCACACGGGCTGCACATACATGTCAGCTGAGTAGGGACAGCTGACAGCTTCATGGGGCACATACTCGGTGTAAGGTGTCCATGGGGACAGGGGCTGGAGGGTGGCCGGGGTGGGCTGGGAGAGCCAGCCAGCACACAGGGCACCCTCCTCCGCCACCGTAGATGCAGAGACCTCCATGTCCAGGCAGGAAGGACCTGTGGGAAGAAGGACATTATAGAACTGCAGATGCCACCCAGATGAGAGGCCTGAAGAGACCACGGCTACGGGGCACTCTTACCCACTGTGGTGTAGGTCGCCAGGGGCTGATGGGGCAGCACCACCTAGAGGGGAGAGGAAAAGACCAGGGTCAGTGTTCGGCCATCCCCAACTCACTGTGTGCAGGGGACTTGCCCAGAGGGCCTCAGGCAGGAGAGTAGAAGGTAGGAATCTCTCTGGTTAGAACAAAACACCCCACCCGGTACCCCAACCATCACCACCTACACTTGAGGAATTTGTGTTTCCATTTAGCAGGAAGTCTGTGCATTCAGGGAGATGGCATCTTCCTCTTCTTAGGGAGAGCCCCCAACTCACACCAGGGCATGTGGGTCATTTGCTCACTCAGACCTTGAGAGTAGCTGTGTTCAGTGGGCCAACTTAGCCAGCCCCAATCCCTCATCCCGGTTACTCCACCCTCGCTCTATTTGTGGTAGCCTCCACCATGCAGCCTGCTGCCTTCCGCCCCCAGTGACTATCCCACGCAGTGAGGACCTACATTCCTTCCTGCCTAATCCCTTTGGTCACCTCCCAACCCGTTCACCTGCACGCGCACGCACGCACACACACACACACACAATCTCTCACTCACACACACACACTCATATATACACACACTCACACACATATACACACACACACGTACACACACATAGACACACACAGACATATACACACATTCACACACACACAATCTCATACACGCATACACATACACACTCACATACATACACATACACACACTGACACCCATGTGCACAATTCTCACACACAAATACACATTCTCACACACTCACACATACTCTCCCACATTCACACACTCTACACACATACTCTTGCACACACACTCACACACACACGCACACTCACCGCCGTAGGTGCAGGTGCTGCCCCGCTGCTGGCGTGGCCTCGCTTCCTCCTCAGCAGTTCCTTCACTGGCTCCTTCACGCGGACGCCCTGGTATGGCCGGGCCGGGGCCGGGGCTTGTTCCGGAGCTGTGGCTGTGAAAAGCAATGTCCCTGGAGCCCGTGGTCCTTCTCAGACGAGCCCCAACCCCAAAGTGCTCATTTGCTCATGAATCTGCCTGCTCCCTAATTCATGCTTGAACACAGAAAACCACGTGGCACGTGCTAGAATACTTCTCCAGGATTGTCACTCCTCCTGCTTCCAAACCTTCTGTGGGTCCCCTGCACCCAGACAACTAAGGCCCAGCTCCTTATCCTACAACTTAGTTGTCTGGGTGCAGCGGACCCACAGTTTCCATTTGGTAGTGCACAGACTTCCTGCTAAATGGAAACACAGATCTCTCAAGTGTAGGTGGTGATGGCTGGATACGCCTTCAGAATGAGATCCGAATCCATTGTCCTCACCACTCTGCACACTCCCTACTACACAATCCCTGACTCCAACCAGAAGGTCTGTCTATATTTCTCTACGTGTTCCCTGCATGTCTTACCTCCTCATCTGTGGTTGAGGTTTTCTGTGGTCAGAATTCTCTCTCACTTCTTTCAACCTGTTGGTTCTTGCTGACCCAAGACAAGTGCAACACTCCTGCCTGACCCCTGCAGCCTGAGGAATTTCCACATCCTACAGCCTCTCAAACTTTTCCAGATCTGATTAGTACTCATCATAGGTGGCAGTAGAGGACAGCCATAAGAGCAGGGACTCTGAGCCAGATGGCGCAGGCCTCAAATCCTGCCCCTGCCACCACCTTGCTGTGTGATCCTGGGCAAGTTACCAAACCTCTCTGTGCCTCTTAATCCTCAGTTTCTTTATCAAAGGAATGTTGAGAGAAGTCACCTGATGTGGCAGATGGGTAGAACAGTATGTGCTTCAAATAAACTCAGGTACCCGGTAGGCATTCAAAACAACTCAGTCTGTTATGTAATAGTTATTCTTTCTGATGTGTCTTATGCCCACAACTAGATTATAAACTTCCGAAGGTGAGTTCTTGTACCTTATTTCTCTATGTGTTCCCAGTAGCATACCCATCTGTCTTAAGCTCAGTTGATACTTATCTGTCTTAAGGTCAGCTGATTAATCGATTGGGTGATTCTTTAAGCTATGCTGCCATTTGTCTTCCCTTCACCTCTCCTACACCTTTAGAATGGAGGCAAGTGGCTCCCAGGTTCTCAATGACTTCCAGGGCATGGAGCAAATACCCAAGGGTGATCCATGTGCCCTGGGGCCAGAGAGCATCCACCTGCTGCTGAGAAAAGGTTTCCTTCCCCTCTTGTCATCAAAGCAAAGAAACCAAAGCATTGACCCAAATAAGAGTCAGTGCATAGGGGCCCTCCTGGCCTGGGAGAGCAATTGGAAAGCAGCCATGGCTGGGAATTGACAAGCTGCCCACCCAGAAGGCCTGTGGCCTACGGGCGGAGAGCAGGCCTGGGTCAACCAAGAAACCCTAGCCCTTAGGACTTCCACAGGGAGCCCATTATCGTCCACTGATAAGGGCCCCAGGGATGTGGGCTCTGAATCAAAGTCCTGGAAGCCTGGGTATCTGTTAAAACCGGATCTGCAGCGCTAACCTGGTTGAACTTTGCTCAGTAAACATCCAGCTGATAAGGTCCCATGCCTGATTCGGCACCAGAACTCCCTCCAGGTTTTAGCCATGAGCAAGGCCTGGACTTGAAGCCCACAAGGCAGAGAGAAGCTTGGGCAGAGGCAACAGGAAGCGGAAAGTGAGCCCCACGGGCAGATGATGTGTGGTGAGGAATCCCAGTATCTCAAGTGGACTTCAGACCCAATCTCCAAGGTCCCTCAGCTGGCCAGGTAGCAAATCAACCAGGAAGTGATACAATATACAGGTACAGGTCCTGCTTGGGACAGTGTGATTCTAGGGGACTGATATGGGCCTAGGAATCTGTATGTATAAAAATTCCTCAGGTAATTCTGAAAACATTGGGACTACAACCACGGATAATTCATTCCTAATTTAACATAAGAATCTCCCTACAACATCCCAACAGGAGAGTCATTATGCTTATTTTAACTTCCCCCGTCTGAACAGGAGATCTGCTGGTCTTCATTCATTCTTTCAAATATTTCTAGTGCCCAGGAGTACAGCACTGAGCAGGACCCATGCAGCCCCTGCCCACGTGGATCTTGCAGTCTAACGGGGAAGACAAGCAACAGAAGTTACCAGCAGCAGATGAACCTCACAACTTGTGAAATTCTGCCATAGGAGTGTCTAGCAGGGGGAATCAGCCTGGTGTCTGTGCCTCAGGGCCATCTGTGCACCTTCACCTTAGTTCTGAACACCAATGACAGTGGACTTGAGAACACACATACCTGTATTCAAATCTGGGCTGTCACTTACTGGTAGAAAGTTCTTAGATTTATTTAATGTCTCTGGGCTTCAATTTCCACATTTGTAAAATGGGAACAATAATTCTTCTCTCACACAGTGGTTGTGAGGATTAACTGAAATAATACATGGGGAGCTCCAAAGGCCACATCTGGCATAGGGTAGATGCTCAATGCACATCGTCTTTCTTCTCTTCCCTCAGGCCATTTCCGCCTTCCTTTCAGGGGGATATCATACTTCTTCTTACTGAAGCTGCCTTATGGTAACACACGTTGTATTTCCCTCTGTTACCTTCTAAAGAAACTCATGATTCTTATCCATTTACAGCTGTCTCATCTGTAAAGTGAGGATCATAATGGTATGTATGTTGCAGGGTAATTTAAGGATTACATGTGAAGCGCTCGGACTAGAGTTTGGCACAGAGCATTTAATACATGTGAGCTCTTATTATCATGTGTGTTAGTAGTAATATTCCTTTTCCACATCCGAGAGACACTAGGTGCCCCCCTAGGTCTGAAGGGACTTATCTCTTAATGACATGGTTTCGGTCCCCCTGCCATCCTTCTGGGTGAGTCACTCTTGCACAAGTTCCATCTGCCACTTTCCCTACTGCTGGGTAGTGCCCAGCGATGACCACAGACCCCAGGTACGACCTGACATGTCAGCGAGCAGGGCACCTGCCCTCCCAGACTCTGCTCACTCTTTCTCAGGGTTACCCCATGGGCGTGTCGGCATTTTTAATTTTTATGAGTACATAGGCCGTGTATATATTTATGGGGTACAGGAGCTATTTGGATACGGGCATACAATGCATAATCATCAAATTAGGGTAAATGGAGTACCCATCCCCTCAAGCATTTATCACTTCTTCATGTCACAAACGATTCAATTATACTTTTTTAGTTATTTTTCAGTGTACCATAAATTATTGTTGACTAGACTCACCCTGTGTCGCTATCACATACTAGATCTCATTCATTCTCTCTCACTATATTTTTATACTCATTAATTGTCCCCACTCCCTCCCCCTGCTGCCCTTCCCAGCTTCTGGTAGCCATAATTCTACCAGCAGTGTGTGCCTTTTTAGTTTCCACAAATGAGTGAGAGCTTGAGAAATGTGTCTTTCTGTGCCTGGCTTATTCCCTTAACAGACTGTCCTCCAGTTCCATCCATGCCGTTGCACACATCAGTTTTGTTCACAGCCATATCCTGCAATTCACACTTGTCTCCAGCTGGGTTCCCAGCTATTCCTTAGGCATGAAGTACAATCTGAGCATTGTGCACTTAAGAGAAATTTGGGAAAGGGGCTATTTGGGGGTCTGAGCACTGTGGTCACCCTCTTAATTCAGCTGAGGAACAAAAAGGGCTCAATCCCATATGAACATATATCAGACGAGCTCAGAGACAGGTGTATGGCTCACCCCCTCTCGTTTGCATATACACCTCTGAGGAAGGGCTCAGAGGCCTCCTGGTCCCAGTTCCTCCCAGGAAGTGGATACACCACACACTTGGCTGGAAAGGGACTAGCTGGGCACTTTCAGGATCTTGTCAAGAGACAGCTTTCTGCCTCCTGCTGTTTCTAAATCAATGAACAAAGAGGGCTTGGTGGAGGTGCCATGGGCAGAGAGTATCACCCTCTAATGTCTGGACTTCCTTGGAAAGCACAGTGTCAACAGGTGTGCCCTGGCACAACAGACCATATGTGGTGCTATCTCCAAGTCCCCACCTCTTCCTATTGCCGTTGCAGGATTCCCACAGCTCCCAAGGGTCTCCTGACTGCCCGCCATGTGTCCACAGCCAGCTGCTGAGCAATCCTCTAACTGACTCCAACTGAGCAGGTAAGAGGGAGGGAGCTTTTCCTAGTGGCTTTGCAAAGTGCTCATGAAATATCAGAATCTGCAGCCTCAAGACGATTCCAAAGGAGCCCACCAGGCAAGTGTTACTGCAAGTTGAAACTTGCAGTTTGTACCTTTCACACCAACCTATGTGCAGCAACAATAACCATCTCTAATTTCACAGTAAACACTGAGCTTCCTACCGTCACCATCATGAGAACTGAGCCCACGATACAAATTTGGGAGAGGAAAAGAAGCTTGTCTAAAATCACGATTGCCTCACCTTGGGGCTCCTGTATCCCTGAATTAACTTCAAAACAACTATACTGGAATATGTAAAATAAATGCTTTTAACCTTTTAAATAATTTTCTAAACTAATAATTTAAAAATCCAAAGAAAATAAACCAGGAGATTGAAATAATAAGATATCAGCAGAGAAGATAGAAGCCCAATTTCCCAAAGTGGAGTTCCCCCCGATCAACTTGCGGCTCCAGGCACGACACCCCCAAAGCCTGAAGCTTTCTCACCATTAATCCTGTGGTCTGAGAGCCTTTTAAATCTCCCATGAGTATCCAAGAGTCTATCACTGAGGAAAATCTTTCCACCTTAGCATGAGCCTCTTGGCCCTGATTGGAAATCTCCTTTTTCAGGCTGAGAGGTTCACCATATTGCCTTTCCATGCCACTGGAAGTCAGGCCAATGGAGTTTGAGAGGGAAAAAAAATCATTTACGGAGAAACCATTAACTTGTCCCCCAATAAAAGCTTCCCTTTTCCAAAATGAGCAACGAAACAAAACCTGTAGGTATAAAAAGTCAGCAGAGACTATTTCAGTTCCCCCTACCACACACCCAGAC